ATCTGGGCGTGATTTCTAGGCAAGATGCAGCTGTATTGTCTAAACAGCCAAGGAGCACAGACTCGCCTTACAGGCCTCTGTGACTGTGTCTCTCCAGCTGCTTTCTGCATCCTCACTTACTGAGCAACAGGGAGCTCTTTCCAGCAGGCATTTGTCAAGAAATGCATGATGAGTGTGAGCACCCCAGGAGAACCGGGGACCTGCACGAGTTAGGTCTGTATGTTACAGACAATTGAGTTTATTTCATCACTTTCTTAAAAGGCATTAGGTATTAATGTTTATTTCTTTATGGTTCTAAATAATGTAATATTCTGCATATGGTTTAGTGGTTTGGGAGTATTTATTTGCCTTGGCACTGAATACAGACACAGAAAATCTGTATCATTGGGGATCATGATGTACAAATAAAAGGAAGTCACATTTTTCCTGCAGTTTAATGAACATATATTTTTGATGCCCTTATAGGGTCCCTAGGTGTTCTGCTGAATTACTGCTTTAGAACAAAAGGTCGCAATTGGAAGGAAGTGACTGAATAAATCTAATGATAATTTTATTTTAAGAATTAAAGTCTCAGAGTAAGCAACACGCTAAACTAATTTCTTGGTTACAGCTAAGTAAATAGGGTTTCTTTTTATTGGGAACTCGGTTTAGTACTTTTTAGTGAAACTAGGATTTTTCCTGTTGCTCATTGCCACTCTCCTTGCTGCTGCTCACTCTGGCTTCCTCTGTGAGCCTTGTTTGACCCAGGAGGTTAAATTTCTCTAAAGAACCTTTGAGAAGCATTAAAGTGAAAGGTACTTTACACCTATGAGATGCTATTTTTAATCTTGCTGATCATCACTATAGATATTCTTGTGCCTCATTCTTAATTTGGGTTGCAATTGCTGCTGGTAAAGAAAGACAAATGCTTTTCTGTTAAAGATGCCTGGGTTTGGGTTTGTTTGGAATCTTAAGGGTTTTTTTTTTTTTGTATTTAAAAAATAACTTAGGGATTTGGGGATAGAGGGCAGGTTGCACAGGACACTAGCGCTGAAGACCTTGGAGCGCTGAAGACCTTGTTTTGTTTTCTTCTAAGTCTGTAATTGAACACAGTTCAGCGGGGAAAGTGGGGGTTACAGGAGGCCTGGTTTCCAAAGCCCTAACCCGCAGGTGTCTGCCTCACTGTGCACCGCTCTGCTCCCAAGTCCACAGTCCTGGCATGGTGTCACTAGGTACCACTGTAGTTAAGGGCCACCCAACCACAGCAGGTCCCAACTGTGGGAACCTCTGTGTTACTTTATAAGAAAGGGTCTTTGCAGATGTGACTAAGTTAAGGGCTTAGACTCGGGGAGGTTATCCTGGGTTTTGTAGGTGGGCCCTAATCCAGTTGTAAGTGTCATTGTCAGAGAGAGGCAGAGGAAGATTTGATACACATGAAAGAGGAGAAGTAGTTAGGAGACAGAGGCAGAGACTAAAGTGATGTGGCCACAAGCCAAGGGATGCCAGTGGCCACCAGAAGTTGGGAGGAGGTGAAGAACAAGCTCTCCCTGGAGTCCCTGGTGCAGCGCCCCAGTGACACTTTGAGTTTGGTCCAGTGACACTGTTGAAACTGATGTTGAACTTCTGGCCTCCAGAGCTATCAGGGAATAAATTTCTGTTGTCTTAAGCCACCCCATCTGTGGTAATGTGTTATGGCAGCTCTAGAAAAATAATATAACACCAGTCACAAATATGCCCCAAGGGCCTGTGATGCAGGTGTCCTATGCCAGGGGCAAGGGACTCGCTGGGGCAAGGAAAGTCGTGATCCTTTCCCTTAGGGAACATACCTGGGGCCATGAGAGGTGGTTGTCAAGTAAAATTAAAATTTAGTTTAATCAGCCACTTGCAGCTACATATGCATTTTATCAGAGAGGTAAGTAACACTCAAAAGCACCCAGTTGCCTAGGATAAGGGACACAGTATCTTTGCAATTGCAATGAAGGTCCATAATGTTAAAATATCTTATCAATTTTGTTTAAAAAAAAGTTTAATTTGTAGAAAAATCTGTTGTGTTTGCTAGGCAATTCAGGGAGGGGAAATTGGACTTCCTGAATGATTTTTTAAATAGTTAAAGTATTTATTAAAGGCATCTCTATGTGGGTATTTGTTATGTATTATTTTATATAGCCCTTACAGCCACTCTGCATTTTTATTTCGCATAGGAAGAAACTGAGGATGAGAGATGCTAAGTACCTTTCCCCAAGGACGTGATACAGGGAGTGATATGTCCTGGCTTGTCTCACTGCTTTAAGATGGCTTGTTAGTTTGACACTCAGCTGTGTTTCTGGCCCAAACATGCAGGACAGACTGATCTGTGATGGGCCTGGTGGGTGGGAGCCAGTCAGTCCCACCCTGACCAAGGCAAGTCCTGGGGCCCGAGTGGGTACAACAGGCAGCACCGTCTAAGTTTCTCTTGATAAGTATGCATAAATTTCAAATCAACTATTAATCACTGACATTCTCTTCATCCACCCACCCATCTATCCATCCACATCCAGCACAAGCAGGAAAGGTTCAGAAGCTCAAAGCCATCCTCTGTGACTTTATGACGGAATGATCCCCACTCTGACAGGTGAGAGGATAGGGCTAGAGATCATGTGGGTTGCTGATGGGAAACCAAGGGAGGGCCAAGCGTTTATATTCTCTAATGAACACTACTTAATTATTATCTTTAAAAAGAATTTTTAAGAAGATTCACCTGAAGTACAGATTTATGATTTTGTAATTCAAGCCCCATTTCAGCTGTCGACATAGAAATTATTCCTAACCACTGGACCAGCAACAAAGATTTGTTTCTGGAATGTTTAATGATTTGTAAGTAGAGCACTTACATATATAGGAAAATAAGTTGGATGGATAATCGATGCAACGCCTGAGAATGAAAGAGAGCACATCCCGACCATTACCAATGAGTGACTGTGACACCACAGTTCATCAGGACCATGTAGGATCCGTGGGTGCTGGACCCACCACGCCTCCAGGGCTCCGTGCTGCAGGCTGCTTGATCGTGGCCAGTGGGGAAGAGAGGTTTGCATGTGCCGGGCCCCAGGTCTTCAGAGACTCCAGCACCCTCACCTCCTCATCTCCCACTGGAGGGGCTGGACAACCAGTTTCTATTTAACACATTTTCATCTATTGCTTTTGATAGAAACTTTAGGTTACCTGGTTTCGGTGGAAACAGGAGGAAACGGATTTTGGTCAGATGTAAAGGATATTCCATGGAGGACCTGCACAGCATGTTACACACATGCATTACATCAACCACAAGGTAAGTAGGTACCCACTGCTCCTTTGTAATAGCACTGCAGTGCTCGGACAGTTTGGCTCACCCAGCTAAGCAGAGGCATTGGCTTTTGCTCTTTCAGAAAATAAACCAGAAAGCTCATTTTCCTTTAGAGAGAGCCCTGGACTCTTAATAGTGTCCGCCTGTAAGTGCTGTTGCAGCTGCACTGCTCTCTGGGAGGGGGGTCCACCGAGGGACAGCCAGATACTTCTGGGCAGGGAGTGGGCTGGGAAAATGAAGCAGTTACCTTGTCCAAAAACACCTGAGTTGTGTACTCAATGGAATAATTATATTCTGGTAAACTCCAACTTTCATATAAGTTAAGCTGGCTGCCTGGGGACATTTTTGTAGATGCTCTATCCAGTTCCTGAAAAAAAGGGTCCTTGGTGATACACTGATTTAGACAAGGTCATTTTTAGTGGGACTCAGCACACAGCAGCCAGGGGTAGACTTGAGCAACTAACATCAGGGCTCTTCTTCAGTTCAATCAGCATCAGAGCCCTTCTTCATTTAAAGATGAGGCAAAAGACTGGAGGTAGTAAGGGAATAAGGGAGTCCATTCCCAGCATCACCCATCCTCAATGGGAGGAAATGGGATTCTAATCCAGCAGCCCCTCTCTGCAGGTATGAAAAAATAACATCCTTTTTTGAAAGAAAAACTGTCCTGAAATGGTCAGGGTTGTGCAAATTTAGACAACCTCCCAAATAAACGTATGTACACAGAGGTTCACTGTTGCATTAAACGTTATAAACTTGTGTTAATAAACAAATGTATTTTTCATGACAACATAAGGGTAGTTTTTGTTGTATAACCCACAGAAAAACCAAGGCCTTCAGCCCTGGCCGGGTGGCTCAGTTGGTTGGAGCGCCATCGTGCACCAAGCAAGGTGGGTTCCATCCCCAGGCGGAGCATGTGTGGGAGGCACCCGATTGTTTCACTCTCTCAGATCAATACATGTCCTTGGATGAGGATTAAAAAAAATATTCCAGGGCCTTCATTGGCTCAGTCTCAGTACTTTGGTAAGGCCGATTTTTGAATGTCTTGTGCTTGATTGAATTCTTCAATCAAGAAGAATTTTACTTTCGATTTTATAATATTGAAAGCGATTTCTCATTTTTTCAATGGCCTAAAACATGAGTTGTGAAGACAATAATTAAAGCAACAGCAGTCTGTCTTAGAATCAAATATTTAAAGAAAAATAGTTTCTTACTAACTTGCTCGGCAAGCCTCCATTCTGGAACCCTAACGCTGCTCTGGAACCTGTGGGGCGGGGCGGAGCCACCAGTGGGAGCTGTGCCTCGGGAAGCAGCAGGCACTTCATCAGTGCAGGCCCCTCAGGAGCCATCTATACCCACCTGTGCCCCAAGGGATAACCTCATTTACGAATAAAGTTTAAAGGGTAAAGTTGGGAACTGGAGACTTGGGAAAGGTAAGCTGCTTTCCCATCGTATTAACCTTGTCCTCAGTGGTGTGTCCGATACAGAGTTTGCTTGAGGGATGAGGTCTCTTAGCTGGGTGAGAACTATTTTGAGGGCTGTTTGTGTTCCTGTCCTGGTTGGTCTACAAGATATTTTTAGCCACTCTTTATCTGTGGGGAAAAAAGAAGTAATAGTTTCTAGAGGAGTATCTTGTACTTTGAGAAATGTCATTTCTTTTGTTTTTTTTTAAGATTTTATTATTTATTTAGAGAGAGAGGAAGGGAGGGAAGAAGAGGGAGAGAAATATCAGTGTGTGGTTGCCTCTTGCATGGACCCCACTGGGGACCTGTCCCACAACCCAGGCATGTGCCATGACTGGGAATCAACCTGCGACCCTTTGGTTTGCAGCCTGCGCTCCATCTACTGAGCTACACCAGCCAGGGTGAGAAATGTCGTTTCTGGAGTGATCCTTTCTGAGCTCAGGTGTCCTCAAAGCCAGGTTCACCTGCTCCTCGGGAGGGCAGAGATGAGCTGCTTTAAGATGCAAACCTGTCCCCTCATCTCTGTCAGCTTTCGCCACTGGAGACATGTGGAGGCCGAGAGGCCGAGCTGCTTTGGTGACTCTGATCGCCGCATGGACAGAGTGCGGACTCCACGCAGTGCACTCTGCAGTCGGGACGAGGCCGGTTTCTCATGGTGAGCAGCATGGTGCTGACTCATCTCATGCCTGGCTTTTTCCCTGTAAGCCAGGAGTTGTAAAAACATATAAAGTAGGAAAGGATGGTGTGTTGAAGAAACATGTCTTAAATCAGGTAAACGTCTCTATTCTTTGTTGAGTATAACATTGTGGGAAAAGGCTTTACAGCAGACTTATTCTGAGAGTTGTAGTGAAAAAACAGTGCAGGGTGGTCTGAGAGGGCTGCCCAGTGGAACTTTCTATGGCGCCAGAAATGTTGTGTGTGTGTGTGTGCTCTTCAACATGGTAGCCATGAAGCCTGTGTGACTGCTGAACACTGGAAATGCGAACAGACGGAGAATTTTTTAGTTTCAGTGGCCACTTGTGGTTATTTGCCCAGATCTGAGAACACACCTTTGTATGCACTTTGTTGGTGTTTATTCATTTTACATATAGATTTTTGTGTGAAAGTTGTGTATAAAATTGCTTTAGACTACCATTTACTCCATCAAGAACTAGCAGTGTCCACTCCCTGCCTAGGCAATTCTGAGCCTTGGGAGTTCTTGCCCTCAAAGGGGAATTCTGTGATTGACGTCGGGTGCTGTCAAAACGCACCCTTCTCTCCGGGGGCATTCTGCCACTTCTTGCCATTTTGTGATTCCAGCCAAGTCTTTTTGGGAGACAGTTGACTTATGATGTAGCCTCTTGCCATTTTAATTGTTTTACTGTCTAGACATCCATCTCACTGGTGAGTGTTTGCCTGTGCAACCCACTCAGCCTACAGTCTGTTGGCGGCCTTCCTCCAGGAGTGCTCCTCGTCCATCCCCAGGGCCAGCTGTGTGGGTGTCATGCCCCTGTCACTATTTTGTGGACTTTATCTTTGAATTTGCGGTTTTTAAATGAAGTCTGATGAGGCAAAGGAGCATACACTTGAGGAGAAATGTGCAAGATGTACGTCCACGGTTCTCACCGTCCATTTTCACTCAGAGCCTTTGTGAAGCCCGCGAGCACATAACTCCTGTGGGCACCTTATGTGAATGTTCCAAGATTCAGAGGACAGGTTAGCATGTTGATGCGGACACCGGCCCACAGTGTCCGAGTCATTATGGATGAAATGACTCACACAGACTACCGAGTCCTGTGGAGGAAAAGGGGCAGCACGGCTTTTCTCCCAAGGGGAGCAAAAGCCTTGGCCCTCACCGTGACTGGCCTTTATTGGGTTTTCCAGCACACTACCTGATGGTCCTCATCTACTGTGCACAGGTTGCTTTAGGTGGTTACTTTTTACAGAAAACAAAGGAGCCAATGCTGCTAATCACAACACAGAAGAAGAATATTTGCAAATGAAAAGGCAAAAGTTGTTGAGCAGGTTACACTCATCCTTGGAAGGTTTAGCATGGATTTTAGGAAGTTAATTTGCCGTAAACATTTGTCACAAATCTGGGCGAGGGAGTTTTTAGCAAAAAGCAAGATTCAAAGCAGCCTAGGCACACTGCAGGCCCGATTCCCCATGGGAGAACCTATCCGTGGGTGTGGGTCCTGTGCATCTCTGAGTGGGAGCTGGGCCCATGCCACGCAGAATGGTCTCCTACAAAATATAACCAGAGACATCGAACAATCTGACAGTAACCAGAGGGGAGGGAGGAGGGGGTAATGGGGAGAACGGAGGAAGGGTTTTCAGAAACCACTCCCAGGACCTCCCCTCAGGTAACATCCCCGAAGGCCATGTGAAAGCCCCAGGTCGTCTGTACATGAACAACCCATTTTGTCCAGAGCTTTCTGTGGGTCTAGCCACCGTAAACAAGAGAGGAGACTATTTTGGTTTTGGTAGGAGATTGTACTTGCCCTCGCTCTGAGTATAGGAGGTGAGACTGGGGAGTAATAATTCTTGGTTATTGCTTTACCCTTTGAATGACCAATAACCCAAGAGTGAACGCTTCTGTTTTTCAATCAGGTACTTTTTGTTTAAATCATTGCCGATTGTGCCCCAGCTGATGCAGACACCAGCCCGCAGTGTCCACGTCATTATGGATGAAATGAGACATTCACACGGACTACCGAGTCCTGTGGAGGAAAAGGGACAGCATGGCTTTTCTCTCAAGGGGAGCAAAAGCCTCGGCCCTCGGCCATGACCAGCCTTTATTTGCCACAAATCCAGGTACTAGAGTTTTTAGCACAAAGCAAGACTCAAAGCGGCCTAGGCACATTGCAGGCCTGATTCCCCATGGGAGAACCTATCCATGGGTGAGGGTCCTGTGCATCTCCAAGTAGGAGCTGGGCCCACGCCACACAGAACTGCTTCCTAACATTTTAGCATGTTATGAATAAAATGGGGTAAGTGGGGGCACTGGGAGCCCCCAAAGGCCTTGCTTTTTACTTGAATCAGAACTGATGTGAGCACAAGGCAGGCGATGGCATTCTAAGGAGCATGGACGACCGTGGAACCCTAACCCGTTCTTTCTTACTGGTGTCACTTTCTGTGTTAGCCAACCACTGATGCTGGAGATGACACAGAAAAGAAAAACGTACAGGAGCTCAGTTTTTCCCTCCAGAACTTCCTTATTCATCAGTAATTTGAAAGTATTGCTAGACTGTGTACATATCAAGAAGTGAAATAACAACACTGAGCTAGGTTTATGCAGTGTTTCCATGGTTGTGGTAAGCATACATGTACACACAATATGTATACATAAGCTATGAAATACAAATGATGTAATTTTGATGATTCTGCATGAGTTGTTTTATGTTTGCAGTTAGGACTGGAATTGGACAATATAAAGATAATAAAATTAATGCTGATAGTTCAAAATTTTAGTTTTACTTAGAACAGCATTAAGGAGCAAAAACTGCTGTTAACAAGCTGTGAAGAGACCACGGGAGAGAGGAAAACGTTTCAGTAACTTTCCTGACAGTTTCCGGACGCTTGACCCAGAGACCTCCACCCTCACTTCGCACTGGGTCCTGTGTGTCAGGCAGCTGGCTCGGCCCCTTCTGAGCAGCTCCAGAGCCTTTCCTCATTAGAACCCCCTTCTGTCCACAGCCCTTTGAGGACCCCCACTGACTACCACCACTTCGAAGGGCACCATTGCTCTCGTGGCCCCTCTGCTCCTTTGCTGTTAAAACCTAGGACTAAATCAGAACTAAAGTAATTCTGCACAAGTACTAGATGAAGGGCGTCCACCACCCTGGAAGGTGATGTGACTTCTCAGTGCCCCCTAAGCTGGACTTGTCTTGGAGGAGCAGCCAGAGGCTGGAATCTCTTATCTGGTGCTGGTTCTCCCTTTGATTTGATCAGACCCCACAGGACAAACCAAACCAAACCAAAGAAACAAAAAAAGACCAACAACAAAAACTTCTGGAAGTCTAAACTCCAGCTGCTGCCCTTGGTAACCTGTTCCCCATCTGCCTTTCAGTCACTCCAGGGACGGCTGAGCAGCTGGGAGCAGGCTGAGCAGGCGGAGCGCTCTGTCCACAGGGACTGGCTTCATCCAAGCTCCTTATGAGCAGGCAGTCCTGCAAAACGGCTCTCTGGAGTTTGTTTTGAAATGGTTGCAGTACAGCAGAATCCCTCCCCCCCAAAACCCAAACAACTGAGAAAAATAGTTTGCGTACAAGTGCAAACACAAAACTGGAAGCAAGAAACTATAAGAAACTGAAAACGAAATGAGCAGAGGGACATTTGTTCGTGGTGAAGGATATAAAGAACATTCAAATATAATTTCAAGAGTTTACACGGAGGGTTACACTCATCAGATTAAGGTATCAACATCTCTAACAAGTTAACTGACCCGAGGAGCAGTGCGAATGTGAGGCTGTGGTGGACGCGATGTCCCCTTATCTCTGCACTGTCCGTATGGAACCTGCTAGTCACGTGAATATCCACAATGTGGCTATAATGCAATACATACAATGGGGACATGAATTTTTAGTGTAATTTAAATAGCCTCATGTGACTAGTGGCCACCAATTGAACATTGCAGTTCTAATGCCTCATGGGTCAAAACCAGCAGTTTCTTGGGGGACTTCTCTAATCACTGCTGAATGGTGGGGGGCAGTGGCTGGGCAGAGAGGAAGCTCCCAACAGGTGTGGCCACTTCAGCGAGATCCGAAACCCTCCCCAGCCTCTGGAGGCAAGGGTGACATAACCTGCTGTGAGGGGAACGAGAGGGCGACTCCTGAGGAGCCCGGGAGAACTGAGTGTGCCCATCTCACTCCCGGCTCACGCTAATGGGAGTAAAGGGCCTGGGATGTTGTTCACTCGGACCAGAGGAGGCGCTCAGGCTGGGGCTGCCGGGGGCATCTGTGCATGGAAATCATCCCTGTGGGGCTGGCAGGGAGCTGGAGGCGGGGGTGGTCATTTCCGGGCAGGGTTTCCAGAGCCAGAGGAGGATTTAGGCGTGGAGGGAGGAGCTGAGGGCCCTTTCTGGCCACCTGCCGGCTGGACAGGCCCTTTCTTTTTGGGGATTAAGACCTTGTTCTTGCTCTTGAACACTTTGCTAGGATCCAGCCTGTTCACAAAGCAGTCAGTCTCTTCGGAGAGCAGGTCTGTGTTGTAGGTGATGGGCTTATACATGTTGAACCATTGCTGTAAGGCAGAAATGGGAGAGGGTCACAGTCAAAAGGAGAAATGTCCTTGTTTATGTTCTATAGGGGGGATCCAGGATAGAGAGCTGGCAAGGTGAGGCAAAGAGTAGGTTTTAATGAAAAACTCTTCAAAGCTTAGCTCTTCCAGTGAAAGTGATGACACACACATTACTTTATGGGGTCTTGTAACCTTTAAAGTAAATGCGGCATGAAGAGTAAGAATCTGAGTAAACTTCCTTCCTTCTAACCTAGTGAGCCCTGAGCCTGGGATGCTAGGTCCCAAATCTCCAGGGGACAGTGTCCTTCCAGTTGTTCTGCCTTCGAACCAGCCACTGCCCATCAGGTAGGTTTGATAGGACCTGCAATATAAGTGAGGCACATGCATACTTTGGAATACCCTGTATCATTAAAAAGGACGGCTCCCTCTGTGTGATACAGAATGAGCGCCAAGACGGAGTGCGGAGTGGAAAGAAGGGGCACAACAATGTGAGTAGTATGTTGCACTTGTGAATTAGAAAAAAGGAGCCAAAACTCATATGCAGCAGACTGTCTTGCTAAGGGCACACGAGAAACTCTGAACAGTGACTGCCTATGGGGAAGTGCACTGGGGGCTGGAGAGTGGGGACAGAACCGACTTCTCACCGTTCCTGTGTGCGTGTGCTGCCTGTCCAAAACCCACAGTCAGACTAAGGCCCCGACAGAATTTAATAGGAAAACACTCCCCCGAGGGAGGCACAGCCAAGTTTGGGAACCACGTGATTAGATTATATACAGTGAGGTGGAATCACCTGCCTTGCTTATTGAAAATGCAGGTCTCTGGGATCCATCCCAGATCTCCTGAATCAGATGGGGAAGCTGAGAATCTGCAGTTCAGGCATTTCCTCAGAAGATCCCGATACGTTCTCCAGTTGGAGATGACAGGTGGTCCTTACCTTGGCCTGCGGGCTAACGCCATAGTGGGTGAAGGCATACTGCCACTGGGGCAGGCCCAGGTGCGTGATGAGCAGGCGGTAGTAGGCGGTGAAGGTCTCCGTGAGAAAATGCCAGTATAGCGCTCTGTCCAGGAACCAGATCTCGGTGTCTTTCGCTAATGCTGAAACAGCAAAGGAAATGAATGAAGGGACAGCTTCAATGTTTTCCTTTTATCTGTAAGGTCAATATATACTCATGGTTTTCAAAAATCCAAACAGTAGAGGGGATGGTAAAACATACGTAAAAGTTTCCATTTTTCTCTTCCAACCTCCAGTCCCATTCCCAGTGGCCGCTGTTAGCTCCTTTGGTATGCTTTAACAAATTCTTGACCAGTCCACTGACCTACCTGCTGGGCTTCTGCCCTCTGTGCACCAAGTGACCTAAGCAGCACCCTTTTCTGTGTGCAAGTAGCAGTGCCCCTCCCCCAGCGGGGACACTCAGTGGTCTTGGCCTTCCCGATGGAGGGAAACTCTGAATGGCTCTGGCTTCCTGAAGGTGTCTCTGTCAGGAATTACAAGCGCCATGAAAAGCCACCTTGGAGGAGCCCAGACCCGCTGCCCATCCTGGGAATCCTGCCTGTGCTGACGTGTCCTGTCCTGGTTAGGCTCGGCTGTTCCAGGGCCTGCCTCGCACTTGCTTCTCACCTTACAAGGTGAGGTCACCTTTTACTCCTGGTGGGCCTCCCCGGTTCATCTCCTAATGGCCGTAACATTCCCTAAGGCGCCTCCATCCTCCCCTCTCTTCCTCTTCCCAAACTGCTTGTGGTCTCAGACATTTGCACTTGAATCCTGCCACTCTCCGGAGCATTGTCAAGTCCCTACTCTGTTCTAAGTTAGTTCTACACTCCTTCACTGGGCTTTCAAAACTTCACACGGACAGGAACCACTGGCCCTCTGGCTTCACTGCCTCTTCACCCACAAGATGAACCTTGGGGGTCCAGTGAATTTTTTGTCATTTGCCCACAGTAAGTGGCTCTTTTCCTATGGCATGGCTTTTACTCATATCTCTTAGCTTGAATGCCCATTTCATTCCACCAAATGTCTCACTCCTACCCATAATTCAAGATGCAGCTCAAAAGCGATTTCACAAAGATTCCTACAGCTGAAGACCATCTTTCTCTCTCCAGAGATAAGGAAAATCCTGGTGTATTCCCTAAGCCCTACTAGGCAGACAGCTACTTGAAGATGGCTGGACATTGTCCAGCTTTGCGGTTTCATGGTCCCTAGGCCAGGGCCCAATTTGGTGACAGCAGCCAGGTAGTGGCCCCTGCTCAAGGGGCCAGAGCCTTTAGTGATAATACAAGTTTCTATTGCTGTTCATTGGCCTACATAAAGAAGAAGGGTCATGTTTTTCCTGGATGCTTTCCGATCACTTGAGCCTGCTCTGCTGGAGGAGTTATGAACAGAATGACAATTTCTTTCCGTTTTTATTCACTTACTATTCCAATCCTATTATTTTACAATAACTCACAAATTATGATAGCTTAAAAGAGTCTAGTATTGGCCTGGAAGGGGACACCAAGAGAGGTCTTGGCACCTCTAAGACACCTGGTGGTGTGTCTCAGGAGGCCAGGGAGAAATGGGCCTTTTGGGTGATGGCTGGAGAGCTAGGTCAGCCAAGGATACACCGAACTACAGGGCCATGCTTGTCAGTGGCTCTTACCTGGTTTCCCGTTTTTGTAGACAAGGCAAACCTTCCCATTCCCATTGCAAGGATCCAGCTCAAATATCACACTGCGAGAATCAAAGTGAGGCTTCTCGGGCTGGTTCTCACAGGCTGCAAACCCAGAAGGTAACGGTAATGTTCAAACATACTCAACACCAACACATACTCATCCAGCTTAGCTAGGGTTAAAAAAACAAAAACAAAAAACCGGGCCAAAAGCTTAGCTATCCTATCCTAGACATATTCTTAAATATTGCTTTCAAATGTGGGCCAAATGAATTCTCTACTCTGAATGCTCTGGACCTTACTAGGGTGGTCCAACTTGCAGCCCGCAGGCCACACGTGGCCCAGGATGGCTGTGAATGAGGCCCAAAACAAAATCATAAATTTGCCTAAAACAGTATGAGATTTTTTTGTGATTATGTGTCACACTGTATTTAGTGTGTGGCTCAAGACAACTCTTCTTCTTCCAGGGTGGCCCACACATGCTGAAAGGCTGGACATCCCTGGGCCTTTCGTCTGGGCTCCCCATTACCAATGGACAGAGTCACACATCCAGGCAATGGGGACACGAGGAAAACAAACTGAACTCCTTGGGCCTGGGACTGCACAAAGGCAGAGAAATCTGCATGGCTTGATGTCGACATAGCGTTTTCTTTTCCCACATAACTGCTTTCCCCTTATTTATGACATTTTATGATCTTTTGATTAGAATCCCCTGCTCTCAGTCTAGAATAAAAAATTTAATTATGTTATCATTAACTATGTTATGATTAATACTAAGTCTGGCTCAAGTGAGAAATACCCACCTAGAAATCAAATATTATGGAGTAGCAGAAAAAATAAATTCTTAGAAATGCCAGTACCCAAAACCCTCTCTGCTGCTTCTTTCATTACAGCTAATGTACAGTAAAGGTGAGTATTAGTAACTGGGGTGGAGGGAGTTTACAAACCTAGTAGAAATTGGATACAACAAAGAATATAAACATAGCATTTTGAGTTATATATGTACATATACATATTTATATCAATTCAATATAAATGTATACATATTTCTATTTTCTCCTGGCTGGTGTGGCTCAGGGGTGCGGGAGGCTCTGCTGGGGTCCCCCTCACTGTGCCACAGATGGGAAGTTCACGCCATGAGCTGGGTTTCACTTCGTTTGTTTCTCATCTCTCAGCTCATTGTCCCTTGTTGCCTGATGTGTCTTGAAACCCACTGTCACAGATAACAGATATCCTGTCCCTGCTGTTGTTCCAGGTTGGAGGGTACATCTAGTCTGCTCCTGCATCGTGGATGCAATCACAGTCCACACTGTAGGGTCCCACCAGGTTGCAGCAGGCCTGCCCTCCGGTGTAAACTTTGAATGGACAGCAAACTCACTCAGGGCGGTTCCCTTCTGCCACCTGTAGATTCTACTCCAGTTGCTGCTTGGTTTTGCTTACTCTCCAGCCCTTTTACCTGTTGCAATTTTTCCCCAGACTTTAGAGTATTAACTGGCGTAAGTCTTGATCTGATAAAAGGTAGTAGACCATCATGACTAAAAGCAGGAGGTTAACATTTAATTTTCTTAAAACATCTGCAATGTCACTGTTACTAGTTCCTCAATAAAATTTGTTTGGTTTTATCTCCATTAGTATATTGTCTGTACCTAATCATTTCACCCTGGGGGGCACCAGTGGGTCTGTTATCTGTTATTTGTGCTGGCTGTTGTTCATGGTGTGATTTTGTATGTCCCTGGTTACTCAATAGAAATTATCTTTTGAAAAATCAGTGATAAAAACAAGTTGAGGCCTAGACTGACACTCTCTTCCTCTGAGAATTTCCTTTTGACAGCGGAGCTTTCTTTTGCGCTATGACTCACCTACCGTAATGCACTCACTCGCAGCGTGCGATTCAATGGTCTCTAGTGTGTTCACAGAGCCGTGCAGCCACGGACACCATCAATTTTAGAGCGTTTCTCGAGAATTAGCTTCTGTTCTTTGCTGCCAGGCCCCCGAGGTGACTAGTGAACGACTAGTAACCTGGGATCAATTTAGTCCAGTTTGGGGATTTAGCATTTTCTGGGACATGCAGTGACTTACACTTACACGCAGTGACTTCAGTCCACATGAGAGTGGTTACTTCTGGTTCGTTCTGTCAGCTAAGGTGATGCCAACCCGAAGGACAGCGGTGTTATGGGTGCCGCCTCGTGTAGTTCTTGGACCCCACCCCTCATCTCCCACATGGGCCAGATTCTCAGCTTTGCAGCAGCCTCTTGTCTCTTTCGAAAAGGACAGTGTACCCCAGGCAAAAGCAGCCCTAAATGTTGAGCCTCTTCCCTGGATTTCTGTTTTCTTCTGGCTGTTGACCCACTACTACCCCATCACCTTGTTCGCTCTTTGATGTTTTTAGACGATCTTTATATTCTGCCCCGAGCCCTCAGCTGTCTTCAGCCCGAAGGCTGCTCTGACTCACCTGTCTGCCATTTACCGGAAGAGGAAGTCTCTCTTCCAGTTTCAGTTCGGTCCCAAAAAGGACACAGACGAGCTTTTTGTGTCAATCTGACAATCTGTTTTGCAAAGTCAGTTTCAGCGTATTTAATGCAATGATTGCACTGTTTCCTCTTAATGCTTTGTTATTTTATAATGTTGTTTCTTCCTTTCCCTTTTTCTTTTTACTCATGTGATTTAACATTCCCCTTGTTAGGTTAGCAATTTTAATGAAGTGTTTACAATTCCTTTAGCAGTTATCTTCCTTTTCATCGGTCTCCTTGCATGACTGGATACATATGACTCCACCCTCATTTGGTACCAATGTACTATTATTTCCCTAACCGAGTGTGATATGCAGAAGTCTAAGATTCCCACTCCTCGCTACATACACCTTGTATAACCATCACATGAGCCAAGCTTGTGGCTGCTTAGTTGCAGTTATGTTCTAAGCCAGGACCGGATGCCACCAAGGTCAGGTTTGGGACACTTGATGGGAGTTACAATGTAAGCTGAGATGAGTCGTCACTTGTGCCACACTTGGAGCTGCTTAGCAAGACGTACAGGGCACGCTGACGTCAGTTGCTGCTGGCCTGGGGTTTGTGGCGTGAGTGATTTTAGGAAGGTTTGCAGCATGAGCCCATTGAGGTGGCTCCTGTGGGAAAGCCCCTGGGAGTGGCTTGGGCATAGCTCACGAGCTGGGTAGGAAGGGGTCTCGGGAAATCACCAGGGCACGGTGGGCAGTGTTCGCCAGATTAACGCGGACCACAGACTTGGTGCCCACCTGTGCCACACTGGCTGGCGGGGAGGGCTCGACAAGGGAATGATGGTCCTTGTCAGCACTTTCATCCCAGAAGAGAGCTGCCCCAACCCTGCCCTTCGGGTTCTTGCCCTGAAGCTAGTCAATTTAGTTCCCCTATGTCTCTGCTGACTTTTGAGCTGCTGCCCCAGCACCGCCAGTTAGAGTGAGCGAGTTTGTGCACAAGAAGGGCCATCTGTGGGCCCCTGCAGAGGAGCTCCTGGGTCTCTGGCAGGCCTCTGTCTCACTTGCAGACAACCTCCCTGGTTTTCACAGCTAGATGTTATGGGGACGCCGCTTCCCTATGCTGGTTCCCTGCACTGGGGCCGTGAATGCTCACTCCTCAGGGGGGACCCTCAGCAACCAGCTCAGATATCCCTCCTGATTCTTAATCACTGCACTGTGGGTGTGGGACATGCCCGTTTCACATCCCCACCCCAGTCTTGTGTGGCTGCTGCTCTATCTCCTTAGTTATAGGGCTTCTGTTCATCTGGTCTTTAGGCGGTTCTCAGTGATGGTGGTTCTATCATTTTAGTTGCAGTTTGATGTGGTTGTGGGAGGAGGCGAGCACAGCGTTTACCTGCTCTGCCGTCTTGACCAGAATTCGATTTTAAATACACGTGTACATACATTCTCTTTGAGGAGATTCACTAATCCGTTTCCTTTCCTCTCTATGTATCCACATCTTGAGATGTCCATTCCGTTTCATTTGTCTTCTGGTTAAAATTTATGTCCCTGAAGTTTAACATATTCTTTAATAAGCCTTATAACCTGTGTGTGAAGTGTGTTTTGTTTGATCTGTATATTCAGGACGCTGGATTTTCACTTCTTCTCTGTTGGTAGCCTGTGTGCTCTTTCACTATCTTCTAGTTCCCACAGTTGCAGGCGAGAAGTCTGATTACTGTTCTTTCACAAGTAAGTTGTTATTTTTACTTAGAAGCTATGTAAAAAGCTATATCTTAGAAGATATGTAATTTTTTTCCATATCGTGCAATGCCTGTCTGTTTTCCCATGAATTCAGTTTGAATCTAGAAGAACCATTCCAATCTGCAGACAAATTTTCTCTTATAAGTGTTCATTATTGCCTTTCCGTCTATTCTTTTTCTCAAGCACCTATAATTTCAATAGAAGGTCTCCTGAATCTATTTTCTATGTGTCTTACCTTACTACTTTTCCCCTTTTAAATTTTTTCATTTGTGTTTTTAGATATTTTTTGCACTTCATTTTTCAGACAACTCAGGTCTCAGTGTTTATAGTCTTCAATTCATCTAGTCAGTTGTTTAATCAAAAAATGTTTTTTTCTACAGAAAGTCTTTGTTTTGTCTTAAATGTTCTTAAGTGTCCTTCTTTAGCTTTTCATCTGTGTCCTTCAGCAGTTTTATTTCTCTGGGTGTGTACTCTGATATATTTCTTCCTTATTGATTTCTGACTGCTGATTTCCCTGACAAAAGTCAGTACTTTTCTCCTTGGCTTGAATGAGACTTAGGTCTAGCTGTTGGACTACTTAAAAACCATAAACCCAGATGCCAAGAGTCCCAGTGGCCTTTATCCCCATGAGTATGTAGGGCAATGTGGTCTCTACTGCAGCTCAGTCCTCTGCTGAGGCCCCTTGCAATCTTCTCTGGTGTCTTGTCTACCTCAACTCTTCCAGCCTCAAGAGCAGGAAGACCCAGTCTGCCTATTTACTGACTTTGTCTTCGAGAGGTTAGTGGGCCCCAGCACATGCAGATGAAGTCAGTGGAACTTTTTCCCCATCTTGGAGAATTCTACATATCTCTGAGTGACAGGCTTTTCCCAGGGTCCATCACTGTCCAGTTGAAGGAGAACGCCTTGTATCAGTTCTTTCTGTCAAGACTTCAATGCACCCCAAGGCCTTAGTACTCGAGATGCTAGTTGTCTACTCAATACTCATTCTCTTTTCTTTTCTGTTCTCTTATTTCTCTTATTTAAATCCCAATTCTGCTTGACGAGGCAATCAATACTGCACAGTGAAACACACCTTCTCACATTCCCTGGTAGGGTAACCTTCTGACTTTGTTCTGGCCAATGGCTACCGGGAGGGGCTTGTGAGAGAACTACTGCTTTGCTTTCCTGATTAAGAAGGAAAAGATTCTGCCGAGAGACAGGTTTTCTTTTTGCTCTTTCCTCTTTCTCCTGCCTGAAACAGATTTGAAGCTTGGAGGCAGAGCCTGCAATTCTCACCACGGGGATGAAAACCATACCTAAGGGTGGTGCACCAGGCAGCCAAAGGGAGACTTTATCGTATTCTGATTCCGAGTTCTTGTTAAAAACCAGAATCTGTTTAGACATTGTAACTGGGTCTCTGTTATACGCAGCCAAACACAATTCTGACTGATGAAGTCCCCACTTCTCAGACTTGCTCAAAGCTTTTAGTAGCTGTTTGAATTATGAGGCATTTCAATCAGAAGTGGCAAAGAGACTGGAGGGAGGAAGGGAGCTGCATTTAGACTCCCAGGTTCCCAGCAACCTCGTGACATTGAAGTGCTGAGTGGAGTTTAATCTGTAACATTCATTCATTTACCAAGTATTCATTAAGTATCTACAATGGGCCAGACACTGAAGTGTGTGCTAGAGACAGAAAAAGATCCCAACCCTGGCATTGCTTCATGGACATTTCCTTTGATGCAGGCTGTTTCTATCTCACTCTATGGTCCTGAGAAGCCACAGCTGGAAAGGGCTTGGGGGAACACATCGCAATGCCACATCATCTTCCCACAGTTTTCAACATTACCCCAGGGAAACAAGCAGGCTAATCAATATGGAGCAGAAGTCCCCCCAGTACCTTCTTGTGTATCATCCTCCAGATCAGCCAGAGTGGGTGCATTAGGAAGTGAGTACATGGAAGACTGGTTGAGTTGAGTCAGTTTTGTGATACTGTTAATTTCCATGCTGCCCAATGGAATGGTGTGCTCTATGGGAACATGAAAAAGCATTACATGGAGTAACAGCCTAGTAACATGGTTATCAGCAGGACTTCTGCTTAAGTAACCTAAGCCTGCCTATTGTTTGATCCTAGGGCTGAGGCTATCTGATAAAAGTGGAAAGAAGAGAATCAATGAACTACATGCTCTAAAGCACCTGCCTTTCATGCAAAAAAGCAACTGGGGCCACAGGTCCCCATGGCATGTATAAGGGCAGAGTACTGAAGAAAATTTTAAAAAGGAATACACAAGAGGAACTGGAAAATGTAAGGCAGGAGTTCCGTTTGAAGAGCAAACAGACTTAAAGGATTTTGCTCCTTCTTTCCCTGGCATTAAGAGTTATATGTACTCTTCGAAGGAGAAATAGCTTGGACTGCATACCTGACTTTTTTTTTACTCTTCTAGTTTTAAGCTTTCACAATGGAAAATATCTCACCCTCTACTTCATTTTTCCTTATTCAGTGGAGAAAACTTAGCAGGACTCTTGCTTGGTTCCAGTCTTCTGTGGTTAGGGTGGAAATAAGAAACACGCAGGCAGCATATTTTCCTTACCCAACATACAGAACCTTCGCAATATAGGAGGCGGGACACAGGACGGCACACAGACTCGGACATCTGCCTGCTGAAAACTGGAAGCACTGAGGCCATTAGAGCAGCTGGGGTACAGACCACGGACCGTCCCAGAAGAAAACACCACTAAAGAGGTGAATGTTAGAAGCTGCCTCTGCTGGCTTTTCTGTCCCTGACTTTAGCTATCCAGTAAAAATATGGGTAAGGTAATGGGGACAAGGATGGGAACAGGAGTTGGGAGGATTAAATTAGAGAAGGTATAGTAACAATGAAGAGGGACTCATTCATAAATGCTTCATGAACCGTTCCTTTTCTGAAGCAGGCTTGTGAAGAGACTAACCTATTTCCATGACATGGGCAAGGGAGATTCTGACAGTCTAGATTCTGTCCCCTCTCTCTGCTGCTCTAAACTCCACAGCCCATGGCCATGCTATGAAGGCATGCTCTGATACTGGTGACTAGAATGGTTCCTAGGACATTTGGGGGCAGTATTTTAAGTGGAAAGTTCACGTTAAATGCTTAGTAGTAAACTATAAAAGTGCCCCTGCTCATCTGTGAGAGAGAGACAGGAAGGCTTTGGAAATCACCAAAAAGGGTAAGTCAGGAGGCAAGGGCAGTGAAGGAGAGAAGTCGGTTCTGCCAATTTATTGTGCTGTGCAATAGAAGTCTCTGCATGGAGAGAACAGGGTGCTTCCCAAGGACCGAGGGAGACGTGGGGATGTGGCTGGAGTCTGGAGGCAATAAAGGCCTCCCGGGGACAGGGAGGTCTGTGCCAAGAACGGGCTGGACTCCAGGGCCGAGACCAGGACTTCCCAGCCTCTGGAATTTTACTAGTCTGCACCTAAATGTGCAGCACAGCCCTTCACATCCACATGGGACTTGAGTCTCTGATGTGCTGCATGGGCCCCCACATCTGTAACACGGAAGTCTGTCCTGGACACATTTAGCACCGCGGTGGCTGGTGACTCCGGCTGAGAGGTGTAAGCGAGAGCAGAACAGGCTCTGGTCCGAGGGCTAGAGCCCTGAGATCTTCACTGTGCAGGGAGTGACGGAAGGAGCCCCTCACCTGACCACCAGAGCTGTCACCGCAGCCACCCGAGGAGGCTGCTCTGAGGTGGCATCGGTGGCTTTAAATGTGAGGTGGCTCGGGGGTTTTGTGTAGTGCTTATTTTTTCCTCCACCTCATTTCAACAGGAAACCTGCACAATAGGCTTCCAGTTAAGTCCAGGCTAGACTCCAGCACGGGGGTCAGGAGTGAAGAAATGACGGCATAGTTTAGCTTTGGTTACAGCTTCTGGACACTGCACTTCAGAAGAACCCATGAGCCCTGGCCGGTGTAGGTCAGTGGAATGAGCACTGGCCTGCGAACCAAAGGTTCGAGGTTCGATTCCCCATCAGGGCACATGCCTGGGTTGCAGGCCAGTTCTCAGCAGGGGATGCACAAGAAGCAACCATACATTGATACTTCTCTCCCTCTCCCCTTCCCTTCCCCTCTAAAGATAAATAAATAAAATCTAAAAAAAAAAAAAAAAAAAAGAACCCATGAAAACTGCCCAGATTCAAAGGTGCAAAAGTCAAAGAGGCCCTCCAAGTTGTTTCGTCTAACCTCTCAGGCAGGGAGATGCCCCCCTACAGCGAGAGCCCGACTCACCGTCCAGCTTCACGCTCCACGTCATCTGGAACCCATTGGTCATCAGGTAAAAGTTCTTCACATCCTCAGGCAGCACGCAGTTATTTTTCTGGAATCACAAGGCAGCTGTCAGGTCAGGGCTGGGAAAGAGAGCACAGGACTATGCCTCAAAGCCGCTGGGAGCACCTTTTACCGTGCCCCAAATAGGAAGACTGTGACAAGTATCTACAAAACTTTATTAGAGAGTTCAGGGTCAAAGTGGCAACAGAGTAGACTCCTCAACTCACTTCCTCCCATATGCACCCAAATGTACAGCTACATATCGAACATTCCCTTTGAAAGAAATCCATAAATTAGCTGAATGACCCCTACCTACCTGTGAGGCAAACGAGAAAAAACTCACACCAAAATAGGTAGGAGAGGCTGACTACACACTCACCGTAAAACCGACCTGGGATGGGGGGGTGGGTGACACACCCAGAGAGGCTCTCACTGCTCCCAGACTCTTACAGAGAAGCAAGGAGTTGGGACTCCACGTCTGACACCTCAGCTTTTAAGACTTCTACTTGAGACATAGATCCCCAAAACATATCTCTGAAAGCCAAAGGGGCTTGGGCCCCAGAGACTCACAAAGCTGTAGTGCACTAAGATGTGGTTCGTAAGGGGCTCGCACGGACTCACATGGCTGTCCTCCCAGGGCTCTGTGCAGAGGAGGCTGAAATCAGAAGTCTTGTGCTGAGAGAGGCCTATTTACTTATCTTAAAATGCTCTGCCTAAGGAATAGGCTTCTAATTCAGATGCCACTGCAATACCATACAGAGACCAAGGAGGCCAGCAGGCCTGATCTTCATGCTTTCCTCTGTCTCATTCCAGGTTGCTGGTATCTCTGGGAAAGGGGCTTGCGCATGTCTGATACCCTGGCTTTTGCAGCTGCTGCTCAGGGAGCACAGCCCTTGACTGACTGGTGCTGGTGGCCAGCCGTGCTTATTTTTCTGGGTCTCCCAGGACTGTAACAAACAGAGTAACAGTTCCTAATGAGCTAGACCCACAAGGCATAGCTCAGAAGCAGCAGAATGAAAGCTCAGTCTTTCCTTGAAAGAGGCCTATTTATAGATCATAAAGGATGCAGCCTGCAGGTCAGGCTTATAATTTAACAACATGTAGGGACGACTGCAATCCTCTCCAGAGATGGGGAGGACAGCAGATGCCATAGTCACATTCTGTCTCTGCCCCACCCCAGGTCGCTGGTGTCTGGGAATGGAGCTTGTGCGCATACCTGGTGCCCCAGCTCTCGTGGCCACTGCCCGGAGGACACCTCTGATGATAGCCCGGCTCTGGTGGCCAGTGGGGCTGGTGTTCACACGGTCAATGGAATTATAGCAAACAAGGGAACAGTTCTTCAATGGTTACCCACTCAGGGCTTGGTGCAGAGGAAATAGAGAGAAAAGTCTACCTCCCAGTCTTACTCTGACAGAGTATTTACAAAGTATTTGCATAGTCTGAAAAACAGTTTTCATTCAGCTGCACCTAGGTGCTCACTGAAATCCTCCCCTTGGGGACACTGATAGGACTTGGCCCACCCTCACCTGCTGGGAGCCACTATGCATGACATAAGCTGGACAATCACAAACACCTGAGAGAAAACTAAGAGCTAGGACAGGGTTGAAAAATAAGGTTCATCCCTTACATGAAGCCACTCCTTCAGGACTGGAAGGGGTGGCTATTTTATCTAATCCACAGAAAACCAACACATAGAGTCAAAAAAAGGAAGAATTAGAGGAATATGTTCCAAACGAAAGAACAAGGTAAAACCCCAGGAAAAGACCCTAATAAAACAGAAAAAAAGTGATTTACCTAATAAAGAACTCAAAATAATGGTCATAAAAATGCCAACCGAGTTCAGGAGAACAATATATGAACAGAATGAATATTTCAACAAACAGAAAATATTAGTACCAAACAGAAATTACAGAGGTGCAGAATACAATAAGTAAAAAAAAAAATCAACAGAGGTTTCAATAGCAGACCAGATGAAACAGAAGAAAGGATCAGCAAACCAGAAGACAGGGTAATGCAACTCATCCAATCAGATCGGCCCAAAGAAAAAAAAGAATGAGAAGCAGTAGAAATAGCTTAAGAAACTCACGGGACACCAAGCTGACCCTTTGCATCATAGGGGTCCCCAAAGAAGAAATGGAGAAAGTGGCAGAAAGCTTATCTGAAGAAATAATGACTGAAAAGTTCCCTAAACAGGGTAGGAAACAGACATCTCAATACAGAAAGCTTAGAATTTCAAAAAAAAAAAAAAAGATGAATCCAAAGAGACATTATAATTAGATTAAGAGTTAAAGACAAGGAGAAAATCTCAAAAGCAGCAAAAGAAAAATACTTGTTACAAACAAGGGAGCCCCCATATGACCCTCAGGAGGTTTTTAGGCAGAACCCGACAGGCCTGCAGAGAACAGCACAATATATTCAAAGTGTGGAAAGGAAAACAAAAGGCCAAACAGGAACACTCTCCCTGGCAAAGCTGTCCTTCAGAACTGAAGGAGAAATAAAAGCTTTCCAAACACGCAAGAACTGAAGTATTCACCACTAGACCGGCTTTACGAGAAATGTTAAAAAGACTTCTTTAAGCTGAAATAAAAGGGCACTAATCAGTAACAGGAAAACACAGGAAAGTATACATCTCACAGGCAAGATAAATTTATACTTAAATTAAGAATAATGTCATGGTGGTAGGCTGACCACTTATAAATCAAGTATAAATGTTGAAAGACAAAAGTATTAAAAATAACTATAGCCCACAATAATTTGATAATGGGTACATATGATAAAGATATAAATGTTGAGATCTTTTTAATGTGTGGCAAGGAAGGAGAGTAAAAATAAGAATGTAGAGCTTTAGAATGTATTCAAACATAAGTTATTATCAACTTAAAATAGACTGTAATAACTCTAAGTTGTTTTATGTAAACCTCATGGTCCCCACAAAACAAAAACCTATGGCGGACACATGAAAAATAAAGAGAAAGCAATCTAAGCATACCACTACAGAAAATAATCAAATCACAAAGGAAGAGAGCAAGAGAACAGGAAAGGTACAAGGGAATTATAAAACAGCCAGAGATCAATGAACAAAATGGCAATAAGTCCATGTACACCAATAATTTCTTTAAACATAAATGGACTAAATTCTCCAATCAAAAGACAAGAAGTGGCTGAAAGATTAAAAGACCTAATCCCATGTTTCCTACAAAACTCACTTCAGATGTAAGGACACACAGAACTGAAAGTGAAGGAATGGAAAAAGATTTTCTATTCCAGTGGGAATCAAAGAAAGGTGAGGTAGCTATACTTACATAAGACAAAGACTAATAAGAAACAAAGAAGGTCATTACATAATGATCAGGGCTCAATCCAACAAGAGGTTATAACAATGTATAAATAATTACACATCTAACATAGAAGCACCTAGATATATGAAGCAAATATTAACAGACCTAAAGGGAGAAATAGATAGTTACACAGTTACAGTGGGAACTTCAATTTTCTGCTTTCATCAACGATAGATCATCCAGACAGAAAATCAGTAAGGAAATGCTGAACTTAAATGACACATTACATCAGATGGACTTAAGAGATATTAACCAAACGTCATCCAAAGTCAGCAGAATATACATTCTTTTAAAGTGTGCATAAAACATTCTTCAGGGAAGATCATATATTATGCCACAACAGAAGTATCAATAAACTTAAGACTGAAATCATATCAAGCATCATTTGGGGCCCCAATGGTATAAAACTAGAAAGCAATTACTAAAAGAAAACAGAATATTCGCAAGTATGTGATTAAACAAAGTGCTACTGAACAACTATTTGAGCAAAGAAATCAAAAAAGAAGTTAAGTCTTACAACAAATGAAAAATGTAGTACAACGTATCAAAACTTATGGGATGCTTTGAAAACAGTCCTAAGAGGAGGTTCATAGTGATAAATACCTACATCAAGAAATAAGAAAGTTCTTAAACAACCTAAATTTATACCTCAAGGAACTAGAAAAGGAACAAACTAAGCCCACAATTAGTGAAAGGAAGAAAATACCAAAGATCATAGTGGAAATAAATGAAATACAGACAAAAGAGAAAACAGAAAAGATCAATGACACTAAGAGCTGGTTTTCTGAAAAGATAAATGAAAGAGACAAACCTTTAGCTAGCCTCACTGAGAAAAAGAGAGTCCTGAAATAACACCAGAAATTATAGAGGTGCCATGACAACCACTACTACAGAAAGACAAAAGATCATAAGAGACAACTGTAAACAATTATACACCAGCATACTGGATAACCTAGAAGTAACGGATAAATTCCTAGAAACAAAACCAACGAAGACTGAATCATGAAGAAACAGAAAATTTGAACAAACCAGTTACAAGTGAAGAGACTAAATCAGTAACCAAAACCTCCCACCTCAAAATGGATTAAACTAAGACTTGAACATAAGACCTGAAACCATAAAATTCCTGGAAGACAATTAAGAGGGTAATAAGCTCCTTAACATTGCCTTGGCAATGATTTTTTGGATTTCACACCAAAAGCGAAGACAATCAATAAAAGAAATAAAACAGACCAAAAAACAAAAACAAACCGAAGAGCTTCTATATAGTAAATAATCAACAAAATGAAAAGACAATCTACAGAGTAGAATATTCACAAATCATACATCTGATAAAGGATTAATATCTAACATATAAAGAATATAATATTCCTTCCAACATACAAAGAATACAACTCACTAGAAAATAAATGATCATTAAGAAATAGAGAAACTCAATAGCTGCTTCCCTGAAGAAGCCATACAACTGGCCAACAGGTTCATAAAAAGGTGCTCAACATCACTAATCATCAGGAAAACGCAAATCAAACCACAGTGAGATATCAACTCACATCTATCAAAATGTCTATTATCAAAAAGACAAGAAAATAACAAGTGTTGGTGAGGATATGGAAAGCAGTATGAAAGTTCCTTAAAAATTATTTTTAAAGTACAGTAGGATACAAATATTTTATGTGGATAGCACATCATCCAAAACGGTGGTGGAAAGGAA